CCTTCTCCTTCTCCTTCTCCTTCTCCTCCTTCTCCCTCTCCTTCTCCCTCTCCTTGTCCTCCTCCTCCTGAAACAATAAAACTAACATTTAAAGAACAAATCCCAGTGCTCTAAGTAAATCTAAACTGAATGGAATGGGCAGACACTATGAAGTTTATAACTGTGAACGCCAGATGCACTGAGCAGAAATTCTGCCAAGTTGCCAAACTGAACAAAAATTCTGGAAGCTGCAGTCCCACCTTATTTAAAATATACCAGCTTTTGGAAGCAATATAAATAAATAGTTTTTCCAATGTATTACATTTATATTCTCCCTTTTTCCACCCTGTGATATAAGTAAAGTTATCTTCCGTGGGTTGCCCTATAGCCTGGTCTTTTATCTCAACTTTCCTCCCAACCTTACCTTTGCTGCGTCGGCGGCTTCTGTACTGCTCGGTGTAGAAGGTCAACTGGGTTTCGTCATCTGCTTCAGAGCCTGAATTGCCTTTGGTGTGGCCAAATCCAACACCACCTACAGAGAAACAAATTGAATCAGCGCTTCCATGCCCACCAAAGAACACTTCCAAATGACATCCTTGCCCATCCTTGCCTACAGCTGCCTGTTCTTTGTGCAAAAGGCAAGGGACTCCTTTTCAGCACTGACAGTCGGACAGCATTTTCCATGATGCTCAGACAGTACAATGTTTAAGGGATGCACCTCTTTCCTCCAACGCTTATCTGCTGCCTCCTTTATCTGATACCCAAGGTGGCCACTTCCCTCAGTCTCATGGCAGGGCTGGCCAAGTCCTGAACTACCAACCCTTCTATATTGGCAAATCCTAAGATTTGCTCTCCTAGAGATGCGGAAATTGTAAGAAGGGAAGCTAAGAAAGGAAACGGGGAAAAAGAACTCTGGAGTATAGAAGTCATGAAGAAATCAGGTCTCATTCTGCCCTGAAGATTAAAGAAAAGAGGCTTCTAGGAGCTCAGAGTGGTCCTTTAAACAGTTATTATGGTACTTTACTTTTATATAGGCCTTTTATTATATGGCATAGAAGTCTAACGAGAATATAGTCCTTACCGCCAATGAAAACCTTAATCATTTGCCATGGAAATTATACCGTACGTAGGTAGTTTTTAAACTGAATTGATTGGCCCCTTGCTTTTGATCCAAATGTCTTGGCAACAGCCCTCTGCCAGATTATTTGCCAAGCCCAATGGAACACATCAGGTTGGGGATGGCTGATCCATGCAAATAGATGTCAGATCTCCAGAATCCTAGGATTTATTTTTCCTCCTAAAGTTTTTCATATTATTTTGGATTAAAAATGCTCATGGCCATCTTCTCGAAGCAAGATGGCATCCAGCAATATAACGAAAGGTAGGTCGGTGGTCAAACAGCCCGAGTTCACTTGAAGGCATCTAGCTTGATTCCATATTCTTATTCCATTTGGAAAATTGTTTTAATCTGGGTTTTTTTTAAATCAATTCTGCACTAACGAGGCACACCACCACGCTCTGTATATTACATGCTAGAAAGACGACATTCTGTTTAATACAATTTTCTCAATTCCTTTTTTTGGGGGGCTGGATTTGTTCTCAATCTGTAGTTAGCATGCATCCTGTTTCCTTTGTCTGCAATATGATACTTTTAGAATTTTTTTAAAAAAAGGAAAAAGGGGTTGGGGAAAAATGCTTATGGACAAAAATCTCTGTAACATTGTACTCAAAGAGAAAATGGCTCATTAGCTTGGTTGACTGCTAACTTTCATTCTTTGGCTAAGATCCAGCAGTGTTCCTGCTGTGATTAGTTGGCATTCGTCCAAGTTCTTGGTAACTCCTAATCTCAGAAGCCATTAGTAGCAAACTTTGCACTGAGGCAACTACTGCAGCATCATGGCAGACAGTAATTAAATTATGATTTTTCAGAGAATTATGGCTCCAAACGCAACCTGGTAAATGCAAAGCCTTCATGCAGCAAGGACCAACTTTCTACTGTACATTCAGCTAGTGTTCATTTTATATATGTATATATATATAACTTTAATTATATATTAAAGTTATAAAGAAAGATAAAAACTAACAGAAACTAATATATAGAAAGAAAGAAAGAAAGAAAGAAAGAAAGAAAGAAAGAAAGAAAGAAAGAAAGAAAGAAA